TCTCCTCACGGCCTCATTGCGGTCTCGCTCGGATCAGCAGCGCTCTGATTGCTCTGGTTCTGCAGAAGAACAACTGCACAAGACCAGAAAGAGACCAGAAGGAGACCAGGAGGGGACCAGAAGGAGACCAGGAGGAGACCAAGAGGAGACCAGGAGGAGACCAGGAAAACCAGAGCTCAGGCCATTAATCTGAACGAGCAAACATCATGGAGGTTTAAAAACAAACTGGTGCTGATTGTACTTCCTGGTTCTCAGAACAGCCTCCTCCTGCGCCTCCTCCTCCTGCACCTCCTGATCCTCCTCCTCCACCTCCTGCTCCTCCTCCTGCTCCTCCTCCTCCTCCTCCTGCACCTCCTCTTCCTCCTCCTCCTCCCCCTCCTGCACAGCTTCCTCCTGCTCCTCCTCCTGTTCCTCCTCCTCACCCTCCTGCACCTCCTCCTCCTCCTGCACCTCCTCCTCCTGTTCCTCCTCCTGCTCCTCCTCCTGTTCCTCCTCCTGCTCCTCCTCCTGTTCCTCCTCCTGCACCTCCTCCTCCTCACCCTCCTGCACCTCCTCCTCCTCCTGCACCTCCTCCTCCTGTTCCTCCTCCTGCTCCTCCTCCTGCACCTCCTCCTCATCCTCCTCCTGCACCTCCTCACCCTCCTGCACCTCCTTCTCCTCCTGCACCTCCTCCTCCTCCTGCTCCTCCTCCTCCTCCTGCGCCTCCTCCTCCTCCTGCTCCTCCTCCTGCTCCTCCTCCTGCGCCTCCTCCTCCTCCTGCTCCTCCTCACCCTCCTGCACCTCCTCCTCCTCCTCCTGCTCCTCCTCCTCCTCTCTGACCTCTGTGCTCCTCTTCACTTCCTTCTAATTAGAGCCAGATCCTCTTGGAGCGCAGCGGGACGCACCGACACAGGAGCTCGTAAAGACTCCATGGTCGTACAGAGGTTTGGTCTAAGGTCAACCTCAGGCCCGTGGGCTGAAAACGGCCCAAAAACCAGGACCGTGGCCCCTGGAAGACTGGCACGTTTGTATCGGCTCCAAAACTAGAACTCATGGTACCAAAACCAGAGACACGTCCCTGTGATCCCAGAGACACGTCCCTGTGAGCCCAGAGAGACGTCCCTGTGATCCCAGAGAGACGTCCCTGTGATCCCAGAGACACGTCCCTGTGATCCCAGAGACACGTCCCTGTGAGCCCAGAGACACGTCCCTGTGATCCCAGAGAGACGTCCCTGTGATCCCAGAGACACGTCCCTGTGAGCCCAGAGACACGTCCCTGTGATCCCAGAGAGACGTCCCTGTGAGCCCAGAGACACGTCCCTGTGAGCCCAGAGACACGTCCCTGTGATCCCAGAGACACGTCCCTGTGAGCCCAGAGACACATCCCTTTTAGCCCAGAGAGACGTCCCTGTGATCCCAGAGACACGTCCCTGTGAGCCCAGAGACACATCCCTTTTAGCCCAGAGAGACGTCCCTGTGAGCCCAGAGACACGTCCCTGTGAGCCCAGAGACACGTCCCTGTGAGCCCAGAGACACGTCCCTGTGAGCCCAGAGACACGTCCCTGTGAGCCCAGAGACACCTCCCTGTGAGCCCAGAGACACATCCCTTTTAGCCCAGAGACACGTCCCTGTGATCCCAGAGAGACGTCCCTGTGAGCTCAGAGAGACGTCCCTGTGATCCCAGAGACACGTCCCTGTGAGCCCAGAGACACGTCCCTGTGAGCCCAGAGACACGTCCCTGTGATCCCAGAGAGACGTCCCTGTGAGCCCAGAGACACGTCCCTGTGATCCCAGAGAGACGTCCCTGTGAGCCCAGAGACACGTCCCTGTGATCCCAGAGACACGTCCCTGTGATCCCAGAGACACGTCCCTGTGAGCCCAGAGACACGTCCCTGTGAGCCCAGAGACACCTCCCTGTGAGCCCAGAGACACATCCCTTTTAGCCCAGAGACACGTCCCTGTGATCCCAGAGAGACGTCCCTGTGAGCTCAGAGAGACGTCCCTGTGATCCCAGAGACACGTCCCTGTGAGCCCAGAGAGAGACGTCCCTGTGAGCCCAGAGACACGTCCCTGTGAGCCCAGAGAGACGTCCCTGTGAGCCCAGAGAGACGTCCCTGTGAGCCCAGAGAGACGTCCCTGTGAGCCAAGAGACACGTCCCTGTGAGCCCAGACACACGTCCCTGTGATCCCAGAGACACGTCCCTGTGAGCCCAGAGAGAGACATCCCTGTGATCCCAGAGACACGTCCCTGTGAGCCCAGAGAGACGTCCCTGTGAGCCCAGAGAGACGTCCCTGTGAGCCAAGAGACACGTCCCTGTGAGCCCAGACACACGTCCCTGTGATCCCAGAGACACGTCCCTGTGAGCCAAGAGACACGTCCCTGTGAGCCAAGAGAGACGTCCCTGTGAGCCCAGAGACACGTCCCTGTGATCCCAGAGACACGTCCCTGTGAGCCTAGAGACACCTCCCTGTGAGCCCAGAGACACAGATACAGCCTTAGTCTGTACAGATGCTAACTGTA